TTGTTGGCGCTCCCTCTTCACAGCAGCAGCACGAGTTGTACTCCCAGCGTTACAGCCTCCGTCGTGGGGCTACTGGAGCTGTGGTATCTACTGGAGTTGGGGCTGGTGGCCCTGCGGGTGCAGTGTCGCAGCCGGAGCCTCCCTCCCCTCAGCGGCTACGTGAGTGGTACGCTCGGTGCTGCAGCCTTCAGAGTAGAGCTCCTGGTGTTGCGGTACTGCCAGCTGGAGGCCCTGCTGCTACTGGAGGTCCTGGAGCTTCTGGAGGTGCTGCTGGTGCTGGTGCTGCTGGAGGTGCTGCCGGTACTGCTGGAGGTGCTGGTGCTGCTGGAGGTGCTGCTGGTACTGTTGGAGGTGCTGGAGCTGCTGGAGCTGCTGCTGGTGCTGTTGGAGGTCCTGGAGCTGCTGGAGGTGCTGCTGGTGCTGCTAGAGGCTCTGGAGCTGCTGGAGGTGCTGCTGGTCCTGGTTCAACTGAAGGTTCCGGTGCTGTCTCTACTGCTTCTTGGGGCACTTCACGGCCACGGCCGTACTTTGCTCCGCTCCTTCAGCAGGTTCTTGGTCAGCCGCCTCCTCCTAGTCCTCCTCCCTCCTTAGAGTGTCCTCCGTCTGTCCAGTCACAGTCACAGCTGCCGTCTGCCTCGCCACTTCCTGGTCCTTCTCCCTACACTGGTCCGATAGGCGGTCTTACAAAGCGTCGTGAGCCTGAGTCTCGTCCTGTGTCGCTTGTGTCTCATCCTGTATCACCTGTTCGTGCTGCTTGCACTGGTTGCCGTGTTCCGCGTGAGCGTCCTCCACGCGTCCCTGGCACACACTATATGACTCTACGTCCTTCCACTGCTCCACAGCATGTCCCTCTGCCGTCTCCTCCTGCGTCCTCTCTTCCTGTTCTTGCTGACCCTGAGTCTGACTCTCTTCATGCTACGAGTCCTACTATCACGCGTCTCCTGGCCACTGCTGTCACTGACCCTCCCTTTGAGTCTGCTGCTGTGTCTGCCCTAGTTGCTGAGCTTGTCGACTTTGCTGCTCGCTGTCGTCTATACTACACCGCGAGTCTTGTTGCTGAGTCTAAGTGTGTGTGTCCTCTAGGTGGTGAGTGTGCTCTAGGCACGGACGTCCTTGAGGACAAATAGGAGGACCTTGAGTGTCTTGCAGCCGCTGCGCCTCATCTCGTGTCCATGCTGCTTGCCTCTGAGGGAGACCCGGATGCTCCACACATCCCGACCCCGCGCTCTTACGCTGAGGCTATCGCGGGTGAGTACTCCTCTCAGTGGCTGTCAGCCATGGACGCAGAGATGGCATCTTGAAAGTCCACTGGCACTTACGTCGACAAGGATCCCCCTCCTTGGGCGAACATCGTCAGTGACATGTGGATTTTCAGGGTAAAGCGGCCGCCGGGTTCTCCGCCTGTCTTCAAGGGTCGTTACGTTGCTCGAGGCTTCATTCAGCAAGAGGGAGTAGACTTATTTTAGACCTTCTCCCCCACCCCGAAGATGACCACTCTTTGGGTGCTACTGCACGTTGCTGCTCAGCGTGACTACGAGCTTCACTCTCTTGACTTCAGCACTGCTTTCTTGCAGGGCAGCGTGCACGAGGAGATCTGGCTGCGCCGCCCTCCTAGATTCACTTGGTCGTTTCCTCCTGGTACCCAATGGAGCCTCCGATGGCCATTCTACGGTCTGCGCCAGGCGCCACGTGAGTGGCACGGCACACTGAGGACTACTCTTGCGGCACTTGGGTTAGCGCCTTCTACAGCTGACCCGTCGCTGTTTCTGCGCACCGACACTTCGCTGCCGCCGTTCTACATCCTCGTCTATGTCGACGACTTGGTCTTTGCCACTGCTGACACTGAGGCTCTCGCCCACGTGATGTCGGAGCTGCAATAGAGACACACGTGCACAGACCTGGGTGAACTGTGCAACTACCTTGGCTTGCAGATCACCCGGGACAAAGCACACTGCACCATCACACTTACTCAGTCACACATGGTGCAGCAGGTCCTTCAGCGCTTCGGCTTTACCTGGTCCTCACCACAGGCCACTCCTCTGGCTACCGGTCACTCGCTCTCAGCTCTGCCTTCGGATGAGTTCGTAGAGCCGAGTGGTCCTTTACCCAGAGCTAGCTGGCTGCCTCATGTACCTGAGGACTTGCACTCGTCCTAACCTAGCGTACCCTCTTGGCCTTCTGGCCCGCTACGTGGCTCCTGATAGGCACCGAAAGGTGCACTGGGATGATGCAAAGAGGGTATTGTGCTACTTGTGCAGTACATCGGGCATGAGGCTCGTGCTTGGAGGAGGGAGCTCAGTTGTTCTCATTGGGCACTCAGACGCTTCTTGGGTTGACGACCAGACTACTCAGCGGTCGCTACAGGGTTACACCTTCAGCCTTGGCTCTGGCTCAGTTTCGTGGCGTTTTACGCGTTCGTCTTTAGTTCTCAGCTCCAGTTGTGAGGATGAGATCTACGCCACAGCCATGGCTGCACAGGAGTTACGCTGGCTCACCTACCTGCTGACCGACCTGGGAGAGCGGCCTCGTTCTCCTCCAGTGCTGTACGTCGACAACAAGGCTGCCATTGCCTTGTGTGAGGAGCATAGATTGGAGGACAGAACGAAGCACATCGCTTTACGTTACTTTCTGGCTCGAGATTTGCAGCTGCATGGTCAGCTTCGTCTGCGTTACGTGGCCACTCAGGCCAACGCTGCTGATATATTCACCAAGGCACTTTAGTCTGGTGATCGTCTGCGTTTCTGCACTTTGCTAGGGCTTGTGCCCACTCTTCCTCACTTGTTGTAGATTTTGCCTGCACTATTATCTCTCTATATATACCTGCATGCTTGCTAGATATAGATCACTGTGATGCCTGTGCTACATATATGCCTCTACATGTGAACTGGCCTTGTGGCCCTTTGCTTGTGCTCAGTGTGTGTGGTGATGTTGTGATCCACCTCGAGCTTGCTTTGTCTCTCTTGACTGCTCATGTGACCCCTTGCTCTACCCCACTTAGCGTATGAGGGTGTGTCAAACATTATATATGTTTTTGCTGTGTATGCTACAGTGGGTTAGCCTTTAGGGGGTACTTTTCTCTAGGGTTTCAGACTTGTACTCCCAACTGTTTCTAGTTCACTACTTGTTTCTGACACATATAATTTTTCAACTGAGTTGGGTTTGAAGGATTTATCCGAGGCTAATTCAGCTTTGTCTTGACCTGGAACCTTCCCCTAAGCCTTTGCCGCTGTGTAGGCTTCACTTGTGGGCAATAGGGAGCCTTAACACCATGCTATGGGGAGAGAATATTAACTCCTTGGAACGCACCACCCCTTTTAACGCTCCGGAGTGGTTTGTCCAACTTCTTAGATGCCTGAATAATGTCTGAAGGCTTTTTCTTGGCCTTGAAATCTCCCCTGAATTTTTCAAATTCTTGAAAACCTTGAGAGGGAATATTCTTACTCTCGGGGGTGTTCGGCTGGAGTTTCCCGGTCGGTGCAGAGTCTGGTTTCGCGGAGCCTCCATTTGTCTCGGCGATTTCTCCTGTTGCCGGTCGGTCGTGGCGTTTCAAATTCGCGCCACCATGTCCTCCTTTTTTCGCCCGCTCTGAAGTCGCCATGTCTTTTGACTTCGGGGGTGCCGCACTATTGTTGCCCTGCAGCTCCGCTCGTATCTTCTTCAATTTACAACACGCCAAGAGTCGATGTCTTGCTGCGCCGCAAAATTCGCAGTTCCCATATTTTGTTTTTCGCTGCTTTGCGTCGATCTTGTAGATATCCATTGGGTCGGCGGTCGTGGGTGGTGCCGATCGCTCCGTGCCGAATGATCCGTTCGGCACACGTCGTCGTGTTTCGGGTTGACCTTGAGTCAACGCATCGAATCTCTCTGCTGCACACACCAAGTCGCGGTAGTTGTTGTAGTTCGTGGCAATCACCTGTCGGCGCACTTCCATATTTAGCCCCTCAGTATACGTTTGGATTTTTTCCCCTTCGGCTAGGTCCGTTATTCGGTTGAAGAGGCTCTCGATCTCCTGCGTGCACTGTGCTACATTGCCAAGCTGTTTATGCAGATGAATCTGCTGCCGCGCCATGTAGCTGGAGTTGATTGCCTCGGACCTCGTTGCTATTGTAAATCCACTTGAGCGCCGGGCATGGTAACAGTGTCGCTGCGAGCTGAATCTGCATTGCATCGTGTGTCGGGGTCGTACAGCCAACGGACTCGAAGTAAATTTCGAGGGTCGCAATGAATCGACGGACGTCGGTGTCTCTCGCATTCAGATTGAACGTTTCCGGTAGCCTTGGACGTGCCGCCTCAAGATTCACTGTAGCTGCTGCCGCTGCTGCTGGGTGAAGTGTCGGTATTGCCGTTGTTGCTGCTGCCGTCACTGCTGCATTCGCTGCTGCGTTCGCTGCTATTGTGGCAGCTACCGACTGGTTCGCAAGAAGCTCCTCTATTCGCTGGAGTGCCACTCGCGTATGGTCCAGGCCGGTGTGTAACTCCGTAATTTTTCGTTCGTAATTATCACCATTGTCCTCCATTTGGCGATTTTACAGGAAGATGTGCGACGAAAATAATTGATTTTTAGGCGCTCGTGCACTCACTGCGAGTCGAATCAAATGAAGAAATAATGAGCGCTCTTTCTGTTGGTCGCGCAATTCTCCCTTAGCTGAAATTCGCGTCCGATGTCGGCCATTGAGAAGACATTCGATCCGACGCTCCCATTTCCAACCTTTTTGGGCAAAATTCTCAGGGCCATTGAGATTCGAATTGATCTGACGGTCGAAATTCCAACTGTTTTGCCACTGGACCTCAGGAGTGTTCGAAAACCAGTTCGAGGGGGACGTTCGAAAATAGCGCGGAACTAGTTTACGTACCCAAAATCGGCGCTTTCCGTTGTCGCCCCCGCGGATTTAAAAGCTAGGATTTAGCAGTCGAAAAACTTCGCATGCAAACAGAATCAGATTAACAAGTGTGGGGATCTAGGATCGAGCTAAGAATAGAGAGTTTCCCGTCCAGTTTACATGAGGTGAGAGGTTCCCCGTATTTGCCGTGAAGGAGAGGAAGTTGTGCAGTCCCACGACGTGATGGATCGCGTCGGTCAAGTACTTGGCAGGAAGTCCGGATTGCTTCAACAGTGTGCGCACCTTCGTCATGAGCGTGCGGTTGCGCGCACCTTTGTCATGAGCGTGCGGTTGGTATGTTCAAGGACATCTTGCTGTAGCTGTGCGCAGGGGAGTGAATTGTGGTGCAGGATGCCCTCTTTAGCAAGAAAAGTTTCCAATTCCTGGCTGCAAAACTCAGCTGCACCGTTAGTTTGCCAGCTTTGGAATTTCTTCCCGGACTCACGCTGCGTGTGCACCAACCAGATGTAGATCACTTGGTAGGCTGTCCTTCTCCGCCACTCCCCACCGCTCTTGCCCCTCACCTCTCGACTCAGAAGTCTCCCGGCCCCTCCCCGCCCCTCCTCGCCCCTCCCTGCCCCTCCTTGCCCCTCCTTGCCCCTCCCTGCCCCTCCCTGACCCTCCCCGCCCCTCCTCGCCCCTTCCCGCCCCTCCCTGCCCCTCCTTGCCCCTCTCCACCCCTCCCCGCCCCTCCCCGTCCCTCCTTGCCCCTCCTTGCCCCTCCCCGCCCCTCCCTGCCCCTCCCTGCCCCTTCCTGCTCCTCCCTGCCCCTCACCGCCCCTCCCTGCCTCTCCCTGCCCCTCCCTGCCCCATCCTGCTCCTCCCTGCCCCTCACTGCCCCTCCCCGCCCCTCCCCGCCCCTCCCCGCCCCTCCCCGCCCCTCCCCGCCCCTCACCGCCCCTCCCCGCCCCTCCCCGCCCCTCCTCGCCCCAGCCGCCCGAGTCCGCGAGTCGCTGAGCCGCCCGAGCTGTAGTCACCGCCCCTCCCTGCCCCTCCGAGCTCCTCTACCACTGCACTACCCTTACCCCACTGTTCGCGCTACTAGACTACTGCTGTCATGGCTACCCCTAGTGTCCTCGCTTTTGACGGTGAGGGTCAGGCCATTGACTTTGACGTCTGGATAGATGACCTGCAGCTTTTCCTACAGTGCGATAGGGCGGACGGTCTCTCCCTTTTTGACCTCACCTCTGGTGCCTCTCCTGCCCCTGCTGCTGATGCTGATGCCACTGTTTGCTCACAGTGGGCCACACGCGATGCTGCTGCACGTCTTGCTGTGCATCGCCACCTGCCTACCTCTAAGCGTGCGCACTTTAGCCAGTACAAGAGTGCTCAGACCTTGTACGACATTGTAGTTGCATGCTACTCCTCCCCTGCCACTGCTGCACTGAGCCGCCTCATGCTACCGTACCTCTTCCTTGACCTTGCTGCCTTTCCCACAGTCGCTGACCTCATTACGCACCTCCGCACTAGTGACACTCGCTACCGCGCTACGCTTCCTGCTGAGTTCTGCGCCAAGAACCCCCCCCCCCCCCCCCCTATGTACATCACCCTCTACAACATAGTCACCCGGCTCCCTGACTCTCTTCGCATAGTTCGGGACCACTTCCTCTCAGTTTGCCCCACCACTCTCACCGTTGACCTCCTCGAGAAGGCCCTCCTAGCAGCAGAGAAGAGCATAGTCACTCGTTGTGACCCTCGCACCCCCATCTTTGAGTGGTGTTCCCCCTCCCCCCTTTTGCCCTCTGTCACCTCTGCTGCTGCGGACGACCTCGTTGGTCTTGAGTCGGTCGGTGCGGCGTCTACCCCTAGCGGGAGACGCCGCTCTGGCAAGGGCAAGGGGGGCAGGGGCGCTGGAGGAGCTAGCGGGGGCACTGGAGGCGGCGGTGGAGGCGGTGGAGGGAGTGGGGGTGACGGTGGGAGTGGTGGCGGGGGTGGAGGAGTCGGTGGCGGCACTGGAGGCGGAGGCGGCGGCGGCGGTGGCGGTGGGAGCGGAGGTAGCAGAGGTGGCGGCGGTGGAGGAGGCGGTGGCGGAGGAGGTGGAGCTGGTCGGGGTGGCGCTACGCAGCGGGCCGGCTCCGGTGGTGGTCCGCGCCAGCAGCAGGAGCAGCGCACTTGGGACATCCCCCCCCTCAGCAGCTCCGTGAGTGGTACGCTGCACGTCAGCGGGGTGGGTTTACTGGTCCGTGCACCTATGTCTTACGCACCGGCGACCGCGAGGGTGAGCACTGTGGGGGTGCGCACCCCACCCAGCGCTGCTTTGGCCGCTTGATGGACGCTTGGCGTCACCAGTTGTCTAGGGGAGATCCCCCGCTGGGGTGAGCTGTCTAGGGCGGGAGTAGCTATCTTTGACCTTGACTTTGATGCTATTCTTGCTGCCATGTATGCTGTGACTAATAGTGATGAGGGTGACTGTTACCGGTGTTTTCCGCCCAACCCGGGCATTGAGACTGCTGCTCTAGGCACTGGTGAGGCTGATGCTCTGGGTGCTAGCGAGGCTGCTACTTTAGGTGCCAGTGCGTCTGCTTCCTCAGGTGCTGGTGAGTCTGCGCTTTCAGGTACCGCGCCGGCTTCGGCCTCCCTCACTTTCACCCTTGACTCAGGGGCTTCTCGCTCCTTCTTTCGAGACAGCACCACACTCACGCCGCTTGGTTGGCCAATTGCAGTCTCTCTGGCGGACCCCTCTGGGGGTCCTGTCCTTTCTCACTTCTCCACTGTCCTCATGTGTCCGGCGGCCCCCTCTGGCACCTTGTCTAGTCTTTACCTCCCCTCGTTCTCTACGAACTTGGTGAGTGGTGCTGACCTACACGATGCGGGGGTTCACCAGTTCACTCCTGCGAGTCAGCGGGTGACCCACTGCACGGACGCTCGCACAAGCCGACACCTGGCCACGTTTAAACGTCGGCCGTGGTCAAGCCTGTACACAGTGACCACTGAGTCCCCTCCTGTCACTGCGTCTGGTCAGGTAGCTACGTCGGGTCAGGTGTTTGCTGCAGCGTCCAGGTCTGGTCCTGAGTCTGCCCCCTGTTCGTGTCGCCTCTTGTCTCACGAGACTCTCCTGTGGCACCACCGCCTTGGTCACCCCTCCCTGCTTCGTCTCCGAGGCATGGCCTCCTGTGTCCTTGTCTCTGGTGTTCCCCGGTCCCTCCCTCCCCTTCCTCCGGGGCCGGGCCCTACCGGCGTCCCCTGTGTCGAGGGGCGGCTGCGGGCTGCCCCTCACTCCTCCCAGTTTCCTCCGACAGAGGCCCCGCTGCAGACGCTTCACATGGACGTGTGGGGCCCGGCCCGCGTCTGTGGACAGGGTCATGAGCGCTACTTCTTGCTGGTGGTTGACGACTACTCGCGTTACACCACAGTCTTCCCCTTGCGCAGCAAGGGTGATGTCACTGAGGTGTTGGTCGACAGGATCCGCGCAGCTCGTCTCCAGCTCCAGCAGCGCTTTGGCTCGGACTTTCCTGTTCTGCGTCTGCACTCTGATAGAGGCATAGAGTTCTCCTCTGGCCTTGTGCGAGCCTACTGTCTAGCACGAGGCATTCGCCAGACCTTTACGCTTCTAGAATCTCCAAAGCAAAATGGGATTGCTGAGCGCCGCATTGGCATGGTCATGGACGTCGCCCGTGCGTCCATAATGCATGCGGCTGCCCCCCATTTTCTGTGGCCGTTTGCGGTTCGGTACGCGGCGCATCAGCTCAACCTTCACCCCAGGGTCTCCATGCCGGAGGCCTCCCCAGCTTTGTTGTGGACGGGGAAGGTTGGCGATGCGTCTGCGTTCCGTGTCTGGGGATCTCGGGCGTTTGTCCGCGACTTGTCTGCGGACAAGCTGTCCCCTCGTGCTGCTCCTTGCGTCTTCCTTGGCCACCTCCCTGACACGCTAGGATGGCAGTTCTACCACCCCACCTCTCGCCGTGTTGTGTCCTCCCAGGACGTCACGTTTGACGAGTTGGTCCCCTACTACCGCCTCTTCCCCTACCACACTCCGTCCCTCCCCCCGCCACCACTCTTCCTTGTGCCAGGTCCCCCCAGGTAGACCCCCTCCCCCCTCTTGTCCTGCCCCTTCAGGTGTGTCCCAGGTAGACGCAGTCGAGCCTGTCGAGGTTACTAGTGACTCTGGTGCTGATGGGGGTGCTGAGCCTGGGGGTGCGGACCCTGGGGGTGCTGAGCGTATGGGTGCTATGCCTAGGGGTGCTGGGCCTGGGGGTGCTGAGACTGGGGGTGCTAAGCCTGGGGGTGATGAGCCTCGAGGTGCTGCGCCTGGGGGTGCTGAGCCTACGGGTGCTATGTCTGGAGCTGCTGAGCCTGGGGATGCCACGTCTGGAGCTGCTGAGCTTGGGGGTGAGGTGCCTGCGGGCGCTGGGCCAGCTCGTGTGGCGTCTGGCGGTACTGGGCCTGGAGGTTCTCCGGGTGCCTCGTCTCGGCGGGAGCCACCCTCTCCACACGAGCTGCGCGGGTGGTTTGCCCGGTGCTGGAGGTGTACTGCTGGAGCTGTACCTTCTTCGGCTGCTGAGGGTGCTGGTGCCGCAAGTCCCGGAGGTGCTCGTACGGGGAGTACTGGAGGTACTGGGCCTGCGGATATGACTGGAGCTGGTGCTGCTGAAGGTGTTGGCGCTGAGGCTCCTGCTGTCGGTCCTGGAGGCGGTCCTTCTGGGGGTGCTACTGGTGCTGCTAGAGGTACTGGAGCTGGAGGTGCTGTTGGCGCTGGTGCTACCGCTGGGGGTGCTGGAGCTGTCACTGCTGTGTCTGGAGTTGCCGCGCGGCCTCGGCCGTACTTGGTTCCGCTCCTTCAGCATTTTCTTGGTCTCCCGCCTTCCACTGGTCCTCCTCCTCCCTTAGAGTGTCCACAGCCTATCCCGTCCCGGTTACAGTTTTAGCCAGCCTCCCCACTGCCTGCTCCTTCTCTCTACACTGGTCCTACTAGAGGTCTTGTGAAGCGTCGTGAGCCTGCGTCTCGCCCTGCGTCGCCTGTCCGTGCTGCTCGCACTAGTGGTCGCGGTTCGCGTCAGCGTCCTCCTCCTGTCCCAGGCATGCACCGGATGTCTCTGCATCCGTCCACTGCTCCTCTGCGTGTCCCTTTGCCTTCTCCTCCTGAGTCCTCTCTTCCTGCTCTTGCCGACCCGGAGTCGGACTCTCTTCGTGCTGCCAATCCTACTGTCACGCGTCTCCTAAACCCTTCCTTTGAGTCCACTGCTGCGTCTCCCCTAGTTGCTGAGCTCGTCGACTTTTCTGCTCGCTGTCGTCTAGACTACGCTGCTAGTCTTGTTGCTGAGTCTGCGTCTGTCTGTCCTCCGTCTGTCGGGGGTGAGTGTGCCCTTGGCACAGACGTCCTTGAGGACAGGCAGGAGGAGTTCCAGTGTCTGGCTGCTGCTTCACCTTATCTCGTGTCCGTACTCCTTACCCGTGAGGGAGACCCGGATGCACTTGACATCCCGACTCCGCGCTCTTAGGCAGAGGCGGTAGAGGGTCCCTACTCCTCTCAGTGGCAGGCAGCTATGGACGCAGAGATGGCTTCCTGGAAGTCCACAGGCACCTACGTTAATGAGGTTCCCTCGCATGGGGCAAACATCGTCAGTGGCGTGTGGATCTTCAGGGTGAAGCGGCCGCCAGGTTCTCCACCTGTCTTCAAGGCGCGGTATGTGGCTCGTGGCTTCAGTCACCGGCAGGGAGTTGACTACTTTCAGACCTTCTCTCCCACCCTGAAGATGACCACTCTTCGGGTGCTGCTGCACATAGCCGCTCAGCGCGACTACGAGCTTCACTCTCTTGACTTCAGCACTGCTTTCTTGCAGGGTAGCCTACACGAGGAGATCTGGCGATGCTGCCCTTCTGGCTTTACTGGGACTTTTCCTCCTGGCACCCAGTGGAGCCTCCGGCGTCCAGTCTACGGTCTCTGCCAGGCACAGCTTGAGTGGCACGACACACTGAGGATTACACTTGCGGCTCTTGGGTTTGCTCCTTCTACTGCCAACCCGTCGCTTTTTC